AGCTTCATTGGGCTCTTTTTGGTGGTTATCTCTCCCCCTGAACTGGAGTTTATGTTAAAAACTAGCTCCAGTCAGACCTCATTCCCTGTTCCTCCATATTCTTATTGAATGTGAAAATTGGAGTTAGGGAAAATAGCCAATCCAAGGATTTAGCAAAGTACAAAACACATTGAAACCAAGTGAACAAATAGACAAAATGCTACCAGACACACAAGCACACAGAGGCACAGACAATCAGAAACAAGTAAACAAACAGACAAAAAACAAAACAAAACAAAACAAAAACAAACAAAAATAAAAATAAAAAACAACCACAAAAATGGTAATTATAAAATGATAAAAAAACAAAAAACAAAAAAAACAAAAAGAAAAAGAAAACTATTAGTCTGATGTAAGCACTCTCAGCAACCATAAGAAGAGAAGGAGAAGAGAGAAGAAAAAAGGAAGAATAGTATTAATAATAAAAAAAAAGACTTAACAGTAATGCCTACAAAAAAAAGGATAAAAAAAGAAAAAAGAAAAAGAAAAAAAAAGGAAGGGGGCACCAGCAAGAAAAATATTATTCTTATGAATATATACAAACAACACTATATATATGAGGTGGTGGGGATCAACTTTAGTGGGAATATGTTTATGTTGCAACATACTTTCTAGACAGCAGGTAGTGCTGTGAGTGGTTCCCAGGCTAAAACATAAAAAGAAAACAACAACAACAAAAGGAATGTATGCTGGCAGGTTGCACAAATTCTCCCTATAACAGTTCCCGTAAACTATGGGGTGTCCTGAACCAGCTTCACATGCAGGATGACTGGCTACAGATGAGATTGAGCTCTCCACACTCCTGGAAGAGGTGTTCCACACTCCTGGAAGAGGTGTTATAGAGATGCCATTTTTGAAGTTTTACAATATGTCTGGTTCCTGGCTGGCTGCCCAGAATTGGCTGTCCTTTTCCAGGCAGCACTCCTATCTGTCCTCCGAACTTGGCACAGAAGTCCACGTTTTACCAGTTTTTCCACTCAATTCCTAGTTTCCCTTCAAACTGGAAATTGTTTTCTTCCGTGGGAAAAGGGCTGGTTGCTGCTTGCTGCCAGCCACTTTAGCTCCATGGCACAGAGTTTTCAGTCAGTTTCTGTGAGAGAAGGGCTGGTTACCTCTGATTCCCCCAGATTTAGTGCCATGCACAAAAGACTTTTCAGAGTCTGTAGGAAGGGGATTGATTGCCCCTTTCGCTCGCTGCTTCAGTGCAGTGCCACAAAGACTTCTAAAATTACAAAAATGAGTCTATTCCTAAGCGGAATCCTTTCCCCTTAAATTTCTGTCCTTTTGCCTGGACCCCTGATGATTCAAACAGGGTCCAAACAGCTCCCCTTTCTGGTCACCAAATTCCGCTTGGGAGTCCACACCTCACCACACTCTCTGGAACACACCCAAGCTCCCCACGAATTGGGTATAGAAGTCCTTCATGGGTTCATGGGGGAGGTATTGGTTTCTGCCACCTCAGGCCACTGGCCACTGGCACCGTTTCAGCTATGGCTCCAAGTTTTTTCTGGCAGATACCATGGTTCTGGATTACATTTCCAATCCAGCAATTCACCTCCTTACTGCACACCCTGCATTGCTTGTCTGTGCCAGCACTCCACAGGGAAAGATCCAGCTGCCCACCCCCACTCTCACCTGAAACCACGAGGAGAGTTGACCCAGCGATGCATCCCCTCCATCATCTTGCTCCGCCTCCCCTATACAACGCAATTTTGAAAAAAATTTTTAAATGCATCCTGTTTTTATAAGTTTTTTTGGATCCTAAAACTGTGTTAAAACTTTACTGGCAATATAGTTTCTTTCTTTGTTCTTCTGACAGACAATTCCTAATTTTTTTTCCAACTAGAAATTTGAAGAACATGTGTTTAGCATGTACTCTTTTTTTTTTTTTTTTTGAGACAGTCTTACTATTTTGCCCTCAGTTGCTTTGCCATCAGAGCTCACAGAAACCTCAAACTCTTGGACTTAAGTTAGTCTCTTGCCTCAGCTTCCCAAGTAGCTGGGACTACAGGTGCTCGCCACAATGCCTGGCTGTTTTTAGAGATTGAGTCTTGCTCTGGCTCAGGCTGGTCTTGAACTCCTGAGCTCAGGCAGTCCACCTGCTTCAGCCTCCCAGAGTGCTGGGATTACAGGCATGAGCCACCATGCTGGCCTGACAGTGTGTACTCTTAAGTGGCATATGAATTAGGAGGGAGACAGGAATAGTTGCTATACTTGATCTTAACCAAATGGCCGAGAAGGGATTGGGAGATAAGAATAGGAAACACAGTTAAGAAAAGTAGAAGAGAAGTAAGCAAGAGAGAGAAATGGAGCCAGGACATCAGTAGGGGGAAGTGGAGACAGGGAAAAACCAGGAGAGAGCAGGGACTTTAGAAGATTAGTAAGAGAGGCCAATGGGAGATTTAGGGGAAAATTTAAGTGGAGATTTACATATTACTCTAGTAACAGTGGAATAATTGTAGAAATCATAATGTACTGAGTTTCAAAGACATTTTTGCTTTAATGTTGAGCCAGAAAGAATGAAGGTTGAAATTTTTTTTTATTAGCTCACAACTGTGTACATTACTGCATTTTGGGGGCACAATGTGCTGATTTTATATACTATTTGGAATGTTTACATCAAACTGGTTAACATCATGTTCACTTCACTTATTTAATTGCTATGTTTAGACATTTATACTCTACTACTAATATATTTGACATGTACCCTTGCAATATGCACAGTAGGTGAGGTCCCACCGATTACTCTCTCTTCACCTGTCCATCCCCCTCCCCTCCTCCCACCCTTCTCTTCTCTCCTTCTTTCTGGGCTATAATTGTGTTATATCTTTTGTATGAAAGTGTAGGTGATTATAAAGTTGAAATTTTTTATAAAGAGTCAAAATCCTAATGATTTATGCTACTTAAAACCATGCAATACTATTTAGATTTTCCTTTGAATGCAAGCTGAGGCTCCCTGTTGTTCTTAGAGATCTATGTTTAGTGAGTGAAATGTAGTGGTTGAAAGAAAATCATCAGGAACATTTTTAAAAGTATAAGTTACATTTGGTAAATTCTCTTTTGTGTACATGTCTATAGGTTTTCACAAAGACATATAATTATGTGACCACCATCAAAATCAAGATAGAGAACCATATTCTTTCTCCCCCAAAACTTGCTTCATGCCCTTTTTCTGTGTTTGGCAACCAGTGATCTGTTTTCTGTTTTTAACACTTTTGCTTTTCCAGAATGCTACATAAGTGGACTCTTGCAGTAAACTGTAGAGTCTGACTTCATTCGCTTAGGAATAATGCATAAGAATCATCTGCAGTGTAGTAGGTATTAATAGTTTATCGAAGTCCAGAGTTGGATAAGTGAAGATTTTCTTCAGGCCTGCTGCAATAAGAATAACACTCCGACTTCAAAAGTAATCAGACATCTCATCTCAAAATCAAACAGAAACTGGCTTTTGTTTTAGCAAGAAGTTAAGAAGGGTGGGCAGTGCCTGTAGGTCAAGGACTAGGGCACCGGCCCCATATACTGGAGGTGGTGGGTTGAAACCCAGCCCAGGCCAAAACTGCAAAAAAAAAAAAAGAAGAAGAAGAAGAAGAAGTTAAGAAGGGTTAGGAAACAACTTGTGGGTAAGAGATGGTGGTGGGGAAAAGACCAGGTGCTAACATCTAAGGCGTTTCAATGGAAACCTTTGCTCTTTATGGTCAGATTCTGCAAATAAACTGCAAATACGAGCTGTTTTTGCACATTAGTGATTTAGCATTTGTTGAAATTATAAGTGATGGGTATATCCTTCCAATAGTTCATTATAGAAATGCAAACTTATATTCTGATTTTCAACTCCTTTATTTTACAAAATATGCCATATTATACTCATCCTTCTGCACTTTGCTTTTTTTTTTTTTTGCAGTTTTTAGCCAGGGCCAGGTTTTACCTAACAAACACAAACAATACAACCTAACTGTATGTATCCTTACATTAATCTGAATTTTTTTTAAGAAGAGAGAAAAGAAAGTCAACAATCTGGGAACATGTGGATATTCCCTGGTCCATCCATGGGGGCTAGCCTTGCCCTTGCTCCATTGGAAAACTGGCACCTCATTTTTCTCATGATAAGATTGGCTGTGTGGACCAATGCTGAAGTCCACAAGGCATGTATACAGTCATTCTCAGCTGAGGTCTTACTACCCACCCATAACTTCCATATTTGTGGGGACTCTGGTCCTTGCACCTCCCTTGTTATATTTTTTGATGTTATTATAATTGGTACTATTTTTATATTTTATTTTCCACTTGATAATTGCTAGTTCATAGAAATACAATCAATTTTTATGTATTAACATTGTATTGTACAGCTTTGTGAATAACCTCTTTTATTCTAGTAGCCTCTTGGTAGATTCTTGAATTTTATATGCAGACAACCGTATTGTTTATAAATAGAAACAATTTTATTTATTTTAGTCTGTATGGCATTTAATTTTTTTCCTTGCCTTATTTCCCCCATTAGTACCGCCTATAAAATGTTAAATTGGATAAGTGAGAGCAGACGTCCTTGCTTTTTCCAGGTCACTGGGGAAAGTGTTCATTCTTTCACCATTAAGTATGATGGTAGCTGCTGTTTCTCTGTAGATGCCCATTCAGGTTGAGGAAGGTCCTTCTAATTTGTCCAGACTTGTTATAATAGATGAGTAAATAATAAATTTTCACATGCATTTGCTGCATTTGTTGAGATGTTCATAGTTTTTTCTTCTCTCAATCTATTCTGTTAACATGGTGAATAATATTGATTTATTTTCTAATGTTTCCCTCAGTACTTTTAACCAGGTTTGTGGTTATATATTATGGAGGTAACTCTGAATTATTTATGTTCCTTTATCCTAATTTCTACATTTTTAAATTTTTTTCCTATTCTAACTGGAAGATTCCCTGAACAGAAATTCAGTTTTTATTATGGCTAGTTTGTTTGGGTCATGGCTATCATTTGTGGACTGGGACCTTTGGTGATGTAGGCTGGCAATAGGAGATCTAAAGTATAGCTGAGTTTAGAGTTGATGCTATGGTCAATTTAATTTTCTGTCCCTAAGATCGTCATGAGATTGAGATTCTGATATTTGTATTTTATAGGTAAAGATCTCTAAAGAAAATATCTGGCAGTTCTATCTCCTTCAACACTTGCCAAAGTTTCTTATTACCTTTTCATCAGTGCAGTCCTAACTGCAGGTGTGGTTGCACTTTCTACTGTTCTGTCAGTTTTCCTCCAACTTGTATGATATTCTTAACACATGTATATTGTCAGTATTTTTGAACTTCATTATATGCTAGGCACTATGTGAAATGCTTGAGGTATATCACTGGATAAAATACATTATATATATATATAACAAAATTATATGTATATTCATATACATGTACATTGTATATGTATGTCACACACATACACACAAAGCCTAGAAGAAGCTCTAGATTATACTTTGGTACCAAAAAATCATATTTTAAATTCTGTTCTGTTCAATGATAATTTTGTACCCCTAAGAAATACAGCATAGTAAAATCCAAGACAGACAATGAGTTTGCCTTTCTTTAACCAAAGAGGAGGAAAGGCTGCTATGAAAGAAGATGTAGAAAAAAGAATATGTGATCTTAGGAAAGATTATAGTAGTTGCTATAAAAATTGATTTCCTTGAAACTGTTAGTGTCCATGTACACCTTAAAAAGGGTCCATGTACCCTGCTGGAAGACCACTGGACTGATGACCATTGTGCTTAGAATAAGACTCTTGAGTGATCAGTTAAGAAAGCAACAATACAACATAGGATAATAAATAAAAATAAAAAAGGAGAGAGATAGAAGAGATAAGAAAATGTATTTATTGTAATTCATTCTGATTGTCTTTTAGTGAGACAGGAAAAGGTGGTCTCAGAGCCCTCTCTGTAATGCCACCTGTTCAAAAAGCTGAATTGGATTTGAAAGTAAATGTTTTTATTTTTCGGAAGACACAAGGAATTGGATATTCAGTCAAAACTTTTGTGCTTCCTTAGAAGCCAGCCTTCCTCAATTTGAAACTCTGGAGGAATTGGTAAGAAATATTTTGGGGTCCTATTTTCTGTTACTGACTTGGACCCCTGAGATGGGTAAGCTGCATAGGGCTAAAGCTGAAATATGAGGAAGGATCTGATGTTAGAGAAAATTTGAAGCATGAGAGTGTCAAACATTTGTTGAGGGTATAGTCTCTTCTTGTGAGACTTTTAGATAAATCTTCTTACATAGACCCCATAGTTAACCTGCAATATTCTTATTCTCATTCTGCTAAGAAATATGCTAATCATATAATTGGTCATTCAAATTGGGACAGTTGGAGCATTGAAAGTAAGCACTAATTATAGTGGAATAACAGATATAAACTGAAACTTTCCCTTGTCACACTGGGATATATTGTCCTCTTAATGTAATTTAGGATCAGAGATATTTGTCATAAACTGAGAATTAAGAATGAGTCTAACTCCAAAGTCTATGCCTCCCAGTTATACCATGAGACTCCAGGAGACTCTTGTTTACCAAGAGACTAAAGAGTAATATGAAAGAGAGAGACACATGTTGTCATTTTCTGTGTTTTGTAATAGAATTTCCTGAAAAGATACAAAGGCCCTGCTGACCATTGGATTGGCCTGAGCCGAGAATCAGCACAGGACATTTGGAAGTGGACAGACAACGCTGAATACACCCTCTCGTATGTTTGAAACTTCTTTTCCTTCTACTGTGTTTGTGTGCTGTTGTGTGGGTGAGTTGTGTTCATGAGATGAGAAATGTAATACCATGCACAGCTCACTACACTATGGGGTAAGAAAAGTAAATCCTCTTTCGGAATGTCATTTAGTAGCTGTGCCTTTGGGTAAACTTACTGTGATTTCAGTTGAAATCTCTAACATGATGGTGACATTTGGGATAGTACTTGCATTTATATCCACTGATTTCAAGCTTTTCTTTGCTGAAATGCCTGTTTAGAACGTAGACAGAACTGTGGGCACACCCCAGAGGTTCCAGGAGCCACTGAGGAACTGGTGTCCACAAGGCTCTTGAGTTCACTCTTAACAGCAGCTGCATCCACTCACAAAAAGAAAGTACTCAGGGAACCTAAAGTAATCACTCCCAAAGTTCTATTGCCACAAGGACCCTAGTAACAGTTCCTTGGATTGTGAACATTTTAATAGGGTATTTTGAATGTAACTGTTACATTGGAGGAGATAAAAAGTAGGAACTCAATCATTTCCCTTAATCAAAGATAATAAGCCCTTTTAGGAACTTACTAAATAAGAAATTTTTTTTCCACATATTTATGAAATAGTTCAGGAGAAGGCTGAAAACTGAAGGCCACTGATGGCAACATTTCATTTGGGTACAGCAGCAACCACCAGCTAAATACCTAATCAACAACATAACTGGGTTTGGTATGAATGAATAATGAACTTATGATTTTCAAGCAAGGACCCTGAAAACATAAGGGAAACTAACTACAGAAACGGTGCATCTTACTAAGAAGCAATATTAATGACAAGCTTTTGTTCTTCTATTCATTGTAAAAAAAATATGGAATGGGGGTGCTGGAGATTATAGGAGAGGAGCAAATATAGATGTCGAACATAGTAATATTTAATATGTTTTCATTTGGTTTTAGGTTTGGCATCAGAGGAGTTGGAGAATGTGCCTATCTAAATGACAATGGAATCAGCAGTGCCAGGACCTACACAGATAGGAAATGGATTTGTAGCCAGCCAAACAGTTATGTCAGCAGCTGCCAAATTACAGATGCTTAGGGAGGATGCATTTTAAATTGTTATCTATAGCTGCTGCTTCTATTTTTTTTGTCTATCAAAAATATTATCAATCTGCATTCATAATTTCTGTTAATTTGAAGGATGCAAACAATTAAAGATTGAAATAATACATAGAGGTATAATACAAGTATTTGGAAGACTATGTTTCTAAATTAAATGTTTGGTGTGAGCTGATGCTTACATTTGGACTGTAGAGTATAGTAAATATCAGTGAACTCCTCTCCTATGACCAGCTATAAAATTTCTATATAGACAGTCTTTTTTTTGCATGCATGGACCATAGAAGTGAATATGCTGACTAAAACCATGCAAAGTGACTTTTATAATCAGTGAGAAAAATTATAATTGGTCTGTGATTTTAAAAATTTGTTAACACATTCAAAATTCTCTTACAGAATTTAGTGACAAATATAAAAAGACATTTACAAAGGCCTAAGACTAATATTTATTTTTTACTCTGTAATTTAAAACATTAGAAAATCAACAAAGTACTTTTTTTACAATTTCTCAATGTTTATGTTTTAAAGTTACAGTGTACTAAATATGTGCATCTATAAGCAAATACCATTCTTCATTTTACCTTTTATTGGATTTAAATGCTGCTTTTATCCCAGATAAAATCACAGATATTTACTTGAACTCCTTAAGCATTTAATAGTGAATTTTATAACTGCCTACAAATTACTAAATAACTTAGTTTTAAAAACAAAATAATTAAAATTTTTATAGAAGCAGCTATGCTATACTGATGAGCAGGCATCCTCAAACTAGAGCCTGCAGGCCACATGAGGCCTGCTGAGGACATTTATCTGGCCTGCCAGGTGTTTTTTCCACCACTGCCTGTCCTGCTTAGCAGCTGACTCATCCCAGGGTCCATAGTCTGGCCCTCCAACGGTCTGAAGGACAGTGAACTGGCCCCCTGTTTAAAAGGTTTGATGACCCCTGCTGATGAGTCTTGAAGATGAAATAACAATTTACAATGCATCTTTTCCCTTATGTCTTCATCAATTTGTTCTTATACTTTTATAAAATTTTATTTATATACATATATACATATATATAAACTGCAAAATATATATATCTATATTTTTTTCACAGTTTTGTTGTTGTTTTTGTTTGTTTTTGACTGGGGCTGGGTTTGAACTCACCACCTCCGGCATATGGGGCCAGCACCCTATTCCTTTGAGCCACAGGCACCACCCTACATTATATATTTTAAGGCTATGTTCTCAGATGCATGCAAGTATATTCATTTAGGAAGCATATCTATTTTTTAATGAATAGCCATTTTTTTAGCCTTAATCATGCTTTCTGTCCTGAATCATTTTATTTCACATTTCCTAATAGGCAGGAACTAAGTCCAGTTCACTTCTGTATCCTTAGAGGCCAGCATAATGTCAAATGTATGATGTATTCCAAACATATGTCTGGAAAGAAAAAATGCTTCATGATAATAAGCCTATTTGCTTAGTTTCAGCTAATTTTCTTATAAAGATAGGCAAATTGATACACAAGTATATATGCAATGAAAAGCAAGATTTTATATTGATAAACTATGTGTGATAAACTCACAAATGAAGAGCCAAATTGTGACCCTAACTGGCCTAGTATTCTTTTATAAACCAGTTTCAAAGTCATATATCTAAAGCTTGTAGTCCGTTTCTTACTAGCTGTACCCTTGATAAAGTATAGTATCCCTCAGCATCCCTGGAGATTGATTCCAAGGCCCCTGCAGATAGCAAAGTTTGTGGATATCAAACTCCCTAATGCAAAAATGGCATAGAATTTGCATATAACATCCCTCCGAATTTGACTTGCAAAAAAAGAAGAACAAAAGAAATTTTGTGCTATGTAAATTTTCTTCTAGTGCATAGCACCCCACCTGTACACTAGAAAAATGCCACTTCTCAAGGCAGAGTTTATTTAGAGACTCCGTGGTGCTCATGTTCATGGATAATAATATTGCTGTTTTAACAATTTTAGAAACAATCAGGACACAATAATTCATCGGGATGTAAGTCATATCAGCAGCTGCTGTTTCAAAGACTTAAATGCCAACATAGAGGAGGCAGATGAAGAACATCAACTCTGGGTGTGGCAAGTGAGTAGGGAGCTCCAAATACAGAGAGGCAGTTTGGTTTGCTCATCCTTGATCTTAGATTAATCATCACTTTCCCTGGATTTATATTCCAGGGACGTATGGGCTTGTATATACAGGATAGCCATAAAGTTTGTGTGCAATTTAATACATATTAATATATGTATTATATATTTTGTAAATATTATTTGTAGATGTATTATATATTTGTATGATATTATTTGTTTATATTTACCCATTCCTGATTTGTATTATAAAAGAATCTAGAAATTGATTTTGATGTTTGTTCAGTGTGAGTGAATGTACAATGTGTGTATAGTGGCTGTTTTCAATGCATGAAATAGATTTAGTACTAGTATTGAAATCTTTGTAGTCAGCATCCCATGTAAAATGTTTCATTTTGTAAATAGGATGTCTTCATACTCTGGTCAGAACTAGAACTGTACTTCTCACATCTCTCAGAATATAAGATAATAGCCAGAGAGACCAGAGAACAGACACTTCAGGAGCAGAGATGACCTAAAAATAGTGGACAGCAAGAAACAGAAAGACACCAAGTAATAAAATGAAGAAGAAAAGAAGCCAGGGACAAAAAGTGATTATACAATTATTGCAACACAGATTCAGATGGAAAATATGGGTGGGATCACAACTACTAATTAAGACAACCATATAGACTCATGTTTTTCCAGTCCTCTCCTGAAAATTACACAAGAAAGAACTGTTGGAGAATTTTTAAAGATAGTACTGGAAAAGCAAACCTGTCTGGGACCTTGGGACTGAACACCAAGCATAGTCACAGGGCATCTTGTGCCTTCCCCCACTGACCAAAGGAAGAAGGCCCATATGACTAAGGACTTCATAACCCCCTAGTCTAGCAATAGAAGGTTCACCTTTTCCATACCCCAGTTGATACCTGCTGACAACATGGCAAGCTCAGCAGCACCAGCAAAAGGCCTCCAATGGGAGCCTCCCCTGGTAACAAGTAGTTGGGAGAAGCACTTGTCTTATTCATGTTAAACCTAAAATAGTATGACAGGCTGCTAAAGTTAAGGGTAAACAGGATCCAGAATCTTCAAACTTAATAGCCAGAGTGTTTAGGGTATAATAGAAAATCACCCATCATGCCCTGAACCAGGGAAACAACCTGGTAAAAAAAAAAAAAAAAAAACTCATAACATTAGAATTTGGAAAGAAGTATCACAATTCAATAAAAAACATCTACAAGAAACATACAATTAACCTCATATTTAATGGTGAAATATTAATTTTTCTCCCCAATATCAGAAACAAAGTAATTATGTTCTTTTTTACCACCAGTATGCAATATCATATTGGAACATTGTTGCATAGGCAATACAATAAGATAAGAAAAAATAAATAAAAGGCATACAGACTAAAAAGAAAGGAAGAAAAGTATCCTATTTGTATATCATAAGGCTGTCTATGTAGAAAACCCCAGAATTATAAAAAAACAAACAACATCCTAGCCCTAATATGTGAGTTTAGCAAGGTTACAGGATACAAGTTCAACACAGAAAAATTAATCACATTTCTATACTAACACATGTGGAAAATAAATAAGAACAAAATAGCATTTATAATCATTTCAAAGTGAAACACATACATAAAATTAAAACAGGATATGAATGCTGGAATTTAATGTGCTGGTTAAAAAACCTGGAGGTACACACTTTGTTCATGAATTAAAATGCTCACCATAATAAAATTACCAGTTTTTGTTCAAGTGATCTATAGTTTTGATGTCATTATCATAAATAATGCAGCAAAATTTTTTTTGAGACATAGATCAGCTTATTCCAAAGTTTATATGGAAAGGTATAGGAACTAGAATTGCTATGACAATCTTAAAAAAGAATAATTAAGAAATCATTCTACATTATATTAAATTTTATTCTATTCTAAGGAAATTAAAATATTGGCGGACAGCTGAATGTTTAGATTAACAAAATAAAGGTCTTTATCCACTTCTCTCAAACTCTTTTCATGATGCACTAGGATGAAGCAGACCATTTTCCTTCCATTTAAAGAAATATCCATCGATATGCGGAAGATTTAAACCCAAGCACTGGCCAGCCAGAGTCTGTCTCTGGCCAGAGTTCTACACCTGAGAGAAATTATATTATTTGAGCCTGGCATTATTTGTAGGTATTCTCCAGATAAAAGCTTCACAAGGAAGATTTTATATGTCAACATTTATAATTTTTCCTTAAGTATGTACGAATTACTAGCAACTTATGAATAATTATACTAGCAGGTGAAGTTTATTGGGCATGTTTACCTAAATTATAGATTTCATTTTGCAAAATAAACCTATCATTCCTTTTGCCATGACAAGGGATAAAGGGGCCCTTTCATTGTCTATGGTGACTGTATATTGTTCTGTAAACCTGTTTCTTGCTCTTACTCTGTAAATTCATTGTTCTCTCCCTCAATAAACCTCATTTCACTCTTGTAAAAAAAAAAAAAAAACAAGAAAGAAAGAAAGAAAATCTGTCAAGGTCCTATGATACTCTTTCATCTATATAGTTCTTAAGGCTGAGAGAGCTTAATTAATATGCTGTAATAGTTTGTATAATAATAATTTGCCATAAAATAATGTACTGCTATGTTCTGAATATTTTTGTCCCCTCTTCCTAAATCCACATATTTAAATCTTAACCTACAATGTGATTAAATTAAGAGGTGAGAGTTTGGGGAGGTACTTAGGTCATAAGGGTATTGAACAGCCTTAGTACCCTTATAAAGTCTACCATGTAGAAACATAGCTAGAAGGTGCCATCTGTGAACTAGAAAGCAGCCCTCACCAGCCCCTAAATCTGCCAGTACTCTAAATTTTCCAGCTTCCTAAACTGTATAGTATAAATTTCTGTTATTTAT